TACGCTGCTCCTCCTCTTGAAATTCTATCATTTGGCCACAAGCATATAACCCATTGGCCAGGGAAGTTCTATTCACTACCCGCGCGTGAAACCCCCCCCCAAGTGTTGGTTAACGAAAACTGAAGGAAACAAAAAGCCAATGGTCCATGACCCTTAAATTTAGGTTACAATGGGCACAGAAGGATTGACCTTAAGGGAGTTGGAAAATCCTTAATTTTAAACCGGTGGTCAGTAACAGTGCGACTTTAGGATCCTGAGAAGAAATGGGTGTCAAGGGCGAATCTGTTGTTGGTGGTCGGTTATCCATAGGATCGCATTCTTCTAGAAGTTGCTCCACACTGCTTTGTGGATCAGAACCTTTAAGTGAAGCTGTTCGGAGAAGTGGTCTGAGGGAAACCACCTGCTTTGATTTTTGTAGGCACCTAGTGCAGATATCCCAGGTTAAAGACATAAATTCCTTAAGTTGTAGTCCATAAATAAATTATTCAGTGGTCCGTTTTGTATCAATTATGAGAGAGGAAGTGAAGCAAGTTTTTCTTGTATAGTCCATGGTTTATTTAAAATCTGTACAAGAAACGAGTGTGTCATAGTTATCAGAATCTGCTGATGCAATAGTTTGCAAAGAATCCTTAACTTGGATTGTTGGGTTTCATCACCATCTTCCAGGTATAGTGTAATATGCCCCACGACTGTTCGTGGGAAATGACTAAATGTTACAATACTTGTCCTATATACTTAACATATTACACATCAAATACAAATTTTTTTTTACAGCCATGGCGGTCAAGCTCTGGCTACTTTTTTGAGTGTGTCTAGTAATATTACACAGTGTTGCTGAAGCAGATGTAACTGGGGCGGATGCAATCCAATAGAGCCCCATCCCTGACACACATAAGTTGGGCGAGGTGAGTCATGTTAGGAATAACTAGAAAAGGGAGTATGACTTCGGACAAGAATGTTTTGTAGATTTAAATGTTGGGATATTCTCTGTGGTTGAAGGGCATAATTGAATGATTGTTCATTCCCAGAGTGTGAACGAAATCGATTGAGCAGAAGTGGTAACTACCTAGAAGATTGTCTCTGTTATTACTGAGTGCCCTGATTAAAATAAAAGAGCCTGATATCAGTATCAATGCTCTTTGGGGGGAAGTGTAATCCAACTATTTATGGAAAACACACGAATCCATCGGCACCTTATGCATATCCGGTTTTATTTGTGTCACAATACAGAAGGGTAAGATGAAACATCAAGATTAAATGAGTGTAGTCGGAGTGAGTGTTACAGTATTCGGTGGATTAAACATTGGACACTACGTATTTGGAAAGAGACCACTGAAAATAGCGGCGAAAGTAAGAGATCAATCTTTAAAATCAAATTTAAAAGGGACAACGGATCAAATGCATCTACGTCATTGTGACTCAATTCTTAGTCATGTTACTCATATCTTTGAAAAATTAGTGACCATTAATTGCGCACACACTAGACAGGTTAGTTTGTATCAACAAACACTGTTTAAGCCTACAGTAAGTGATTAAACAGACTGATGCCACGCCTTGAGTTGGTTGCCCCCATGTATGTTACTTCGACAGCAATAATTGTATCAAAGTCCTGAATTGAATTTCTATACAACCATAATTGCGGGAATTTCTGAGACGTTATAACAGTCACCAATGGATTTCAGCATTTAAAACATATTATGGCTTTAAATGTTAGAGGTATGCTTTCAGAAATAAATAATAAAACCTAGTCGCAAAGTTTCGACAAACTGACTAGAGATCAACGTTAGTAGAGACTTAGAAGCTAGTGTGATTAATTGGGCCTTGTAAAGCATTGATATATTTGTGGCTTTTTGAAGATATAAGCGTTATCAACCACTTTAGGAAAAACTGCTAACAACGGTCACTAAGTCAAGTATCTAGGTTTTGCCAACTATATAAATAGCAACTTATGGGATAAAATATACGCGTAATGATTTATTTTTAACAATAATAATAATAACAATAGAATAGTGCCAATCGCTAGTTCTAATTAAATACAGAGGGATAAAATGTTTGCTTAGCATAAGTATGTAATCTTAATAATCCGAATTCGCACGAAGTCCTCACTGATCATTTAAGACAGCACAATCTAGAGTATCAGATTACATCGCCAGTAGAAATTTTATAGTAAATAGTATAGTTCAGGAACTCCTTATGAAACTCCAACGTTACGATTGCTGACTCCTCATAACAAATGTACGTATATGAGGACTGAAAAGGACTGAATATTAAGAGTTCCAAACCTTAAAAATGTTTGTTTGTAAGGTTGGTAAATAGTACTTGCTACTTTATCGTTAACAATAAGATTGCAAATATTGTGTTGTTACAATTAATAGAATACACTAACACTAAATATGCAAATACTAGAAACTAAGCTTATAAAAACCTTACAATTTGTACACATGATTTTCCTACCAATACTTGAGGATATATGTGGAACAATACGTAGTAATAACAAGAAAGTAAGGTTGAAGGCTGGTTAGGTGGCTGAAGGTAACCGGTGAAGCGTGATACGAATTTGTTACCATGATCCAAACCACTTTATAATCAGTGGGAAGTTTCTATCAATGATTGCGTATTGAAAGATAGAATTTAATGTGAGTAATAAAAAGGACACACAGTTAACCACAATGAGAAAAATCAGGAACTTTTTAATAAAGAAATCCAGTCACAAACACTACTTCTTAACAACTTTTACGAAAGACTGGATCTCAACAGTACTAGAAATCTAAAGTGTTCATACTCATTTTTTCATCTACGTTTAACATTGACAATTAAGTATGATGGAACTCGGTGAAGCTGGATAGTGATCGAAATCATAACCTGTACAAAACATCTGATATACTGAATGTGTCATTTAGTGTGCACAAATGCAAACTACTTGTAAGTCCACAATCATTTACTTACTTCAGTAGGGTCGCGCCGGTGAACTTCCTCCATTGTTTCTTCAACACGGTACACAGGGAACCTAAAGTGAGAACTGCATCAAAAAGTCCGAACCTTGTATGTGTAGTATATAAAAACCGTTTCCAATATCGGCTATTATCTTTTGCAGCGATGTATCTAGAATTAACCACAATAACATGACTTCCAAAGTCACCTTGAAATAAAAATACGGCATTAACATACCACCGGGGTCATAGTATCGTATATGCTTTCCGGCCAAATACTTTGCTATTCTTTCAGCCGAAAGCATAGGACACTGCATGAATGCATCATACACGAGCCATTCCTTTGAAAATGCTCTCCATTGCTAATCCCAATAACTTAGAGAAATAGAATACATACCAAAACCCTCCAATGTGACATTAACGGCTGCTAAAGTGACGCAGCAATTTAAATATCCAATACCTTTTCCCTAGTCTAAACCAACCGATTTTTGCTCTCGTTACTTTCTCAATATCCAATATCGTTTTCACGAACTAGTATAGACCGATTGATTTCTTTGCCCTTGGTTCTTGTTCTTTCGGTACGGTTCCAGGTGTTCTGTAGTGTCCAATGAATGGGTGTCTAGCAACTCGACTGTCTAATTCTAGTCAGTTGGCAGTTGTTTGTGAGTTTGTATGTCTCCGGATTTGAATGGAAATGTTTATTTCAGGGCACTAGGGTTTCTGGATACTAGCAGCTATCACATTACCAGACCGGAGATCAGTTACTTGAAATGTGGAGAATAATATGGGGAAACTCCTAATGCTAATAAGGGTAAGATTTCGGGACTAAATAAATAATGATAATTTAGTTTATTGATAGTTAGTGAAAATTGTGAGAGAGGACGGAACTGTAAGCAAGGGAGAGGAAACAGATTAAGTCAGATAGATTAAGTTAGTGATTTGAGGAGATAAATAATAACGACTAGCAAGTCTCAAGGCAACTATCGCGTACAGCTTGTCCACGGGGGAGATGATAATCCGGATTTGAGTACGTGTTTATCAAGTCTCTTCTTAAAGGCTGTGTTCACCTTGGCTGAGGTGAAGTTTCAGGTATTTGATAATGTCCAATGAATAAAAGTCTAGCCCCTGGACTGCACTAATTCCGTCACTTAGCAGTAATTTATGGATTTGTATGCCTTGTAATTCGACTGAGTGGGTTTCGAACGGAGTAGTAGGGTTTCTGGATACAATTATCATATTGCCAGGTTGCAGATCAGTAAGGTTCAGTATGGAGAACAGTACAGAGAGAATTCTAATGTTAAGGCGATGAATTTCTGACAAAATAAGGAAATGAATATATTAAATGATTTATACTACAGATTATATGAGAGGACTGAAGTGCGAGAATGAAAGAAGAAAACAGGACGATAATATGTAAGATCCAAGTTCTAGCTGGATAGTTTAAGGTTATGATATCGTCACGCATTCGAAACCTTACTCTAACAACTTGTAGTTTCGATTATCAGTTTGTTTTGATCTCATGTTGGCTTAACTTCTGGTTGCAATCTACTGATTTTTCTAAAATGTAAGTTCATTCTATGTGCTTCCTGAGTCGTCAGCTCACCTTTTTCTCTTGTTATTTTCTCTTCCAGATAACCTATATAGTGACTCCACCTTTACGAAGAAAACGCGATTGGTTGAGAAGAAACATTCATTATCACAACCATTGATACCAGTGATTGTTTTACTGAACTTCTTATTTATTCGCACTTCTGTACATTCACTTTAAACTCGCCTTGTACCTTCGGCCATTCTTTTGGCACGATTTAGGTATTCTTTTGGTACCACGAAATTGCCAGCAAACTTAGTCTTCCATCTGAACTATCTCTTCTTCCCTGTTTTTTGTTTGCGACAGGATAACGCTTGAAGAAGAGAACGTAATTAATTTGTGTTACGCCTGCACGTAAACACGTCATTTTGATATGCTTGAAATATTACGAGTTTACCTAGTCAAAAAACAAGAGCGAGGATCCGGTGACATTACATGCCACTTAACCCGATTATCCCAACCCCCATATTGAGTAAAAATAAGAAGACTTGATCTGAAGTAGAACCTGTATTCTATAAGCATCCAGGAAGTACGAGGTCCGAGTCCAGAAGAGAATCAGGATCCGGACTAGGGATCGAAGTTTGTGATATTGACAGTTAAGACGATCAATAGGAAGTAACATTTGAAGTGACATCGATAGTCAGGAAAACCAGTAAGAAACAACATTGGAGCACATTATATTGATATCTGGGACAGCCGTAAAATTGACCAGTTGGAACTAACCAATAGAAATTGACCAATAATTCTCTTAGGATATTGGATGAATATCTTAACATTTCCCCTACTTTATTTATTTGTTTAAATAAATAAATTTAAATTTATTTAAATACGAAATACTGATAGTCTGTCTCAAAACTCTCACTTTTCACCATTGCGGTTTTCGGTACTGCATTGTTGCCTACGCGAAATATAGAGTAGGACATGACATGTTACCTTACGCTCACTTTAAATGGGCCTAGCAACACAGAAGGAGGGAGAGTAGAGTTACTAGCCTACAAACATTGATGATGAAGGCAAAGACTTTAATACACTCATGTTTGTGGAGCAGAACAATTTGTTTGCCAAAAGCTCTTTTTGTTGGATTAGGCAACTAATCATTGATACTGGGGCGCTTATATGCGCCTTCTACTCCTTCGACTTATTTTATCAACTTATGCTGTGATCGCTCTTCTACCAAGATAACCGACTAAATATGGTGTTTAACATTGCCCATGCTGTGCAAATGTCAAGGGTGAGCACTGGACGAGGGAGGGATCAACTAAATAAATATGAGATGGATTCCTTCCCACATGCTAAAAGAAAACCAAGTTTTTTAGACCACTCAACGGGACACTCAATGACGTGCAGAAAGGCGATCAGAAGAGCTAACTTGAAAGCCATACAAGACTTAATCAATCATAACCTAAGAAAAGGTGTGCACTGTGTATTTTCACGTTCGCGGCCGCCTAAATCACGGGCAGAAAAAAGAAGATCGTCCGTTCGGTAACCAGAAATGATGTTGGAATAGCGCTGAAAACATAGGCAAGACCGCTCCGGGACTTGGAGGTCTAACACCATAGCAGAGAAATAAACGCCACATCTCCTATTCTATGGCAACACTAAATGTTATTTTCGCCATATAGCAGGTGCCAGAACGTCTAAGTCTTGCGTGAATCACTTTTATCGAAAATGCGAAAACCTTGAATCCCCTGAGGATTACTGGCCAATATCTATTATGTCGGAGGCGGATCTAATATTCCTGCTATGATTAAGGTACGAGTTGATATAAGTGAACGGGACGTTAACCAAATAGACGGAACAACTTAGCTATTTTCTGCGGCCAAGTGCAGCTAACTGGAACAAGACTTCCAAAGTCACCATGAATAATGGCGCAAAAATGAGAAATTGACATTTCTGAAAATAAGTTGTAAAGTTAATGAGATTGGTAGGCGATTTTTGGGGATCTAGCATTCCCATTAGTCTCTGAACAATGATTGTGCGAGTGTGTCTAAAATCTGAGTTCGCAACTCGCGTTCTGTTCTATTTCTCACGCTAGTCTAACCTATGTCGCCCAGTCATACATGACTTTACTACATCTGGTGAATTATATCTCAAATTGTTATGCCATCGAAGTCGACAATCTTAAGCGAGACCTTACATAGGGGCAAAGAAGTTCGACAGGAAGACCTACTTTCACCGCTTCCATTCACTTCGTGTATAAATGAGGTCACTCGAGAGAATAATGACAGTCACGGGACCAATATTTTAGACGAAAGAGTTATTTGTGAGGATCCAGCGCTTTTCGCAGAGAGCATTGCGGGGATTTGAAATAAGTTCAAATATATTGCGTCAGCCTATGGGCAAGCTGTTCTTAACATTACTGTAGAATCTATTTCGACGGTGGCTGTCCTAATTGCTTCCAATAGAAACACTCCTGTACGTTACTCCTAGATCCAGGTCCCAGCCGAAATCAAAAGGCAAAATTTCTAGGAGAAAACGTCTCTTATTAATATAAAATGGAAATACAGAGGCTTACGGTATTTTTGTTTCTTCCAGGACTAAATTACTCCGTAGAGTATCTAGTACAATAGCTAGTAAGTGACACTAAGTCCAGCAGCCACCGCGTCTATCCAAAAATGTGGCGGTAGCCATATTATATCAAATTTAAACAATATATGTACAGTTCAAAAGCAAACACAAAAACTTCAATATAAGTACAAAATATAGAAAGAATAACAACATACAATGGTAAAATCTCAAATTGGAATCAAATAAAATACCAAAAATGTCAAGAGAAAAAGTCCATCATGTCATAGCAAAAATATGTAAACATGGAGGGATTTTCCAAAACACAAAACATTCAAAAAGAATTCTACACCGGCCCGCAAAATCCCTCCATGCAAAAACAGCAAGCGTTAATGACACCTTATTTAGGGTTCCCATGTTATCCCCTAATCCACACCGGAATAACGTGTAGGACTTACAGCAGTACGCCTACCCGCCATCCAACATGGATATGACCTATCGTGTTAACTAGGTACCTATACTTTCCCATCAGGCCCTTGATTCCCCTATCTATCGTGGAATGACCTAACGGTAGTATAAACCTTACCCAATTAACCCATACGAACATGAACAACGCGTCGCAAAACTGGTCATATCCTATCCAAGGACTACATTCTCTATCGTGGGGACGAGTCGCCAATCCACCACCACTTGCTCTGATCAGCAGATACCATGAAGTCCGTGATGCCAACTTATCAACAGAAGTTTTTGACCCATAAATAATATGCAAGGGTGGGATCTCCAATTTTGACATTTCATCGTCTCCAGAAGACCTTAAGTAGCATGACGTAGGATCAATATTTATCCTTCCATCTCCTGATGCAGAGGAGGTTTGAACAGTATTCATCATCGTCGGTAACTCATTTGTCACATCAGTGACATCCAGTTTATTATCAACGTCTAAATGATTCCGTTCTGCATTAGCATCCGTTTCCGCGGCACAAGACATATGCTCAACAATAGCATCGTCATCACACAGCACTGTAGACTGGCTGTTACCATCAAACACTTTCTTCTCATCATCACTCGACTGACAGTCAACCGTAATAGGAACAGTTACAGTTGCACAACCTTGTGCATCTTCAATCAACTTAACCTTCGTGACGAGGTCCGATGGCGTCGAAACACTAGGAGGCTCATTCGATGAAGTTGATAAACTAGTCCCTATAAGTGGACTGCTGACACTTTCTATATCCTTATTATCACTGTCACTACTAAGGTTCTGATGGCTACTATTTCCATGGCTAGTCGTAGCATCCGAAAGAGCATGAGGTTCAGGCTTCTTAGTAATAGTAGCATCATGTCTCCTAGGCTTCTTAGCCGTTACTGTACCACCATCACTTATCCTAGAATCTACTCTAGGTCCAGTTATATAATTTACCCTAACTGAAGGGTTCCGAAAATAAGCTTTATTCCGTTCAGTCAATCCTGCCTGGGCTTTATTCATATTTGCTGAACTCACTAACCTCTGATTACTCGAATCCAAATTACCGTTCCAGGCTTTTCGAGCAGCTAAGAGGCTTTTATCATCACACACTTCGGATCCATCTTGATGCCTACACTTTTCGCCTTTTTCTTTCTTTTCTACACTTAGAAAAGCCATCTTATCTGTTACATCAACCGGCTTCTTGCTAGGACACGCATCAAGAGGCTTTACATCGTTACGGTCACATACTCGTCCTTCATCAGCGTATGCTTTCGTGATATAATTGACAAATCTCTTATCTTCCGAGCGTGCTTTAGGTAGAAACGAAGAATCCGAATGTCTCGCACGCAGACCACTAGTAGCTTCCGTATTATTTCCTGTTTTAGCCTGATAAGCTAATCTTCCAAACCTACTACTAGCTATCTTAGCACGAGACATAATAAATTCCGTCAATTCGTTAAAATTGGGCTCTCTCTCCTCTTCGTCCCACTTGAATACTAGCTCTGCCCACTGGGCTTGCATTCGACGAGGTAAGAGCCTTACTATTCGTTCTAAAGTAGCCATAGAGTTAAGTTCAGCTGTACAATTTAACTGTTCTAAAGTTAAAGAAGCATTCTGCATTTTAATGGCCAAGTTCGTCAATGATTCAGGATCATTAAATTCTACATTCCCAGTTCTAAATAAGTCCTCTAAGGTTTCTCGCGCTATTACATGCGTCTGTCCAAAGAGCTGTTTTAGAATGGCCTTAGCTCTCTTATATCCTGATTGTGGATCCATAATAATACAGCCTTCAATCGCATTTTTTGCTTTTCCCTTACAATAATGAATTAAATACAATAAACGCACTTGATCATCCTTGATTCGAGGTTCTATAAACGTCTCTATCTGTCGTATGAACTTAAAATAGTCGCGAGACCTTCCATCAAAATATGAAAGTTCAACCTTAGGTAATTCTAAACCCTCTATCGATGACTTACAATAATAAATATCAGACATAACATGTGGGTTACCCATAAAAAGGTTATCATCAACGACTTGCCTAGAGCCCTGTGATCCGTCGAGCTCTTCCACCGTCCTCATGTGTGATTTTTTTCGGTTTGACATCATAAATAAAGTTCAATAAAGACGGTAACAATACAAAATAGAGTAATTCCAAAATTCAGTTCAAAATTACGATAAACGATTAAATTCCAAATGTTTCCTTGTAATTCTTAATAATCCGAATAGTTCCACGAAAGGAGAAAATTCCACAAAGTATAATTCAAAATAGAAGAAAATTCCACAAGGTATGATCCACGAAAGATGAAATTCCACAAGGTATAGTCCACGAACGGAGGAAATACCAGACTGTAGAATCTATTTCGACGGTGGCTGTCCTAATTGCTTCCAATAGAAACACTCCTGTACGTTACTCCTAGATCCAGGTCCCAGCCAAATCAAAAGGTCAAAATTTCTAGGAGAAAACGTCTCTTATTAATATAAAATGGAAATACAGAGGCTTACGGTATTTTTGTTTCTTCCAGGACTAAATTACTCCGTAGAGTATCTAGTACAATAGCTAGTAAGTGACACTAAGTCCAGCAGCCACCGCGTCTATCCAAAAATGTGGCGGTAGCCATATTATATCAAATTTAAACAATATATGTACAGTTCAAAAGCAAACACAAAAACTTCAATATAAGTACAAAATATAGAAAGAATAACAACATACAATGGTAAAAATCTCAAATTGGAATCAAATAAAATACCAAAAATGTCAAGAGAAAAAGTCCATCATGTCATAGCAAAAATATGTAAACATGGAGGGATTTTCCAAAACACAAAACATTCAAAAAGAATTCTACAATTACCACTGCCAAATCCACTTCCCTTACAGTGAATTTGAGTGGCAAATCCGAAAACCTCAAAAAAGTCCCATAAACATACAATGTCTCGGGGGAAGAGTTGAACTGTGCAGACGCTATCGACTGATTCATGTGTTTCAGTATCTGGTGCATCCATTACCGGAAAGCTAGTCAATCAGTGCTGGAAGACTCAAGGAAACAGTTGACTGAAACCGATGAAGCCCTGTTAACCCCATAAAATGGATTATCACTTAGGGGGTAAATTCATTTTCTGAATTCCATTAGGCGGTTTAGTTCGGCTTTATGAAGAAGATGTAGCTCCGTTCGGTCGATATACAAATTAAACAAAAGGTTAGTAAATAGCTGGGCCTGCCGCACGACTCGGCCACTAGGTTTATCGATGCCCAGATAAGCGATGATGGCTTGAAATAAGAATCTGTGCGTTCAGTGATTCGAGGCCCTGAAAGCGGATGATCCTGACCTACTAATTAGGGAAGCAGCACAAACAAATCTCTTCCTGTACGATTTCTGAACATATGCCATCCCTGTCTGGTGCTATACACACGAGTGTAGCGTCTTCGCCCATTCTGCTCGTTACCAACAAAAGAAGAGGTTGGAAATGGTTATCTACAGGCAGCCTTCCTTGCAAAGTAGCAGCCGAGATGATTGATGACCGGCTATATGTGATTTCTACTTTTATGTTATGAGTAGATGCAGTGCTCAAACTTTCAAGGGGACTGATAACGCCTGTTCATTTAAAACTTAAGGAATTAATTTTTAGTCTGCTGTAGTGAACGGGAAGCCAGTGGCTATTGAGTAGACGGAGTTCACCCCAGAGCGGAGGGTCCAGATAGTAGGAAATACACAAGACGAGACATTGTCTTAGGGCGGTTTGGAACAGTCTAACGAGGAAGAAGCCCTATGGAAGCTGTTCAGTGCGATATCTGAAACTCCAGTGTTGAGTAAAAGTGGCACACCTGCACGTGTAGCGTGACTGCTGGATTGAGCCCTTCATTTTAGTTCTTCTTAGGCTAAAAAGCTATATTGCTCCAGCGGACATGGATGAGGAGCGTGACTAGTGACTAGTACCATGAATAAGCTCATTATACTGATTATGGTCAAATTCTCGAACTGTCAAGGTGTGAGGTACAAGCACATAGGAAATACAGTGAAATGTTAGTAGTTCTAAGGGTTTTATGAATGGTGTTTTAACTAATTTTGAATTGTTTAGTATTAGGAGTAGTGGTAAACACTATTCTGATTGTTTTGTACCTCAATTTGTGAGGACAGACTGAAAACGAGTAGTGTAGATGAGTCCCATGCCAAGTCAAAATAGTCAACCAGTGCTTCCAGGTTTTCAGTAGTGGTCAAAAATTGATTGGTTCATGACATTGAACATCACTGGCTCTGAAGATCAGTATTTGAAAACTAAAGACTTAAACAAATATTTACTGCGATAAAATCCGTAAATCTTTTAATCTAGAGATCATTCATTGTTGTGGTGGTGTTTCGTTCTCTGAGCTGTATGTTTTGGTTGTGTAGCTTTCATTGTTCTTCTAAACAACAGTATCAGCACACATTTCAGATTGTTTCACTTTTCAATTAATGCTACGGGAAGTTTTACAGGTAACCATATTTACTATCTATTCAACCTACGGAGAGCTTGCAGTTCTTTGAAAATATTAGGAGAGCTTGAGTATTATTGTTTATGGCCTCTCAGTTTCAGCAATAGGGACAGTTAGCGGGTCGAATTGTGACAACTCTTGCGGATTATTTTCTGTTGAAGACGCAGCTTTTCCTTGAGAGTGGTCATTGATGGGGCTGATACCGCCTGTTCGGGTAGGCCGTTCTAGTTATTTACCACTCGTTTTGATAAGCGGAATCTCACTCTGAATTTATTGTTCGCGGTTTTTGGACCTTCTGTCAGTGTCCTCACAAGTTAGTTCTGAAATGGGCGAAAATACAAGACATATTCGTACCTCAATCGTTATTCAAGATACCGAAAGCAGAAATAAGATCACACTGCGCGATTCGATGGGATAAGGGGAAAAGGTCATGTTGTTTTTAGCGCTCATCGTAAGAGAGTTCGGAGAAACGTCTCACAAACTCAGTTAGCACTTGCTGAACACGTTCATGTGCTACTGAATCATTGGTTCGACATGGTCCAGCTGCTTGGTTTTAATACTCCAGGCGAGGTGTCATATAGGTGTGGCTTAGAATCCAAAATATATCCGCGTCAAAGCATTTGAATGCTCAGCGTAGTGATCAAAACACTTGAAAAACTTGGCTACTTCAACATGAAAATGTGCAGTTGCTTTGAAGTCATGCCTCACCATTACTCTTGAGTCTTTTTGCTCCTCGTGGTGATGTGCTATCGACAATATACTGGTAGGTGGTTGCATCTTCGATGATCCTCAATACTCAATGCTCTCCAAATTTTGGTATAACAGTGTCGACGAATCAAACAGCCTCGACACAACTTTTGGCCGGTTTCAGTTCAAAGTGTCCAGTTTACTCTCATGCTCTGCCTTCGGCTATACGACTTGGTAACTTAATACGGAATATTTTCTCAAGTAAATTAATTACTATGCTGATTAGACTGACATTTTGACATATATTCATGTTTTGTCTCTTACCGTACTTAAATATATATGGCTAACCATTGAATCTTTCCAATCCTTAGCGAGTTGAGTCTGATACAAACTCACAAACAACTGCCAACTGACTAGAATTAGACAGTCGAGTTGCTAGACACCCACTCATTGGACACTACAGAACACCTGGAACCGTACCGAAAGAACAAGAACCAAGGGCAAAGAAATCAATCGGTCTATACTAGTTCGTGATAAAGATATTGAATATATTGATAGCTGTACAGCGTGGTGACTGGTTCTGAAATAATGTCCACGCTTCTGAGGGTAGCGCTCTACATCATAAGTGTTAAAATTACTTGATACAGTATATTCTCTTAAGTGAATAATATGAGATGATGTTCAAAATATATTGGATGTTGGAGTTGTTTTGTTTGAGTATTTATACTTGAACGTTCTCAATTGAATTCAAAGATGTTCAACTTGACAGTTGGGGCGATCGATGTAAGTGTTAACCTAACTGTTTATACTCTTGTAGGCAATAAATAGCGGCAAGAATGTCGAAGAGCCGGTTCTCAAACTATTGGTAGCTCATAATAATTGTTGTAATAGTATGTCAGGGGTTTAAAAGTGTCCCAGGTGGTGGCAGTGGTCAAAATCGTTATAGATTACTGCTCACCGATGGCGTGAAGACTCATTCATGTAGGTTTTGAATTTCTAACCAATGCCTATAGTTGCTATGCTTGCCACACAGTTAAACCACTTGATTGATGAAAATAAATTGGTTAACAATACTGTAATTCGCGTTAGAAAACATGTCTGTAATAACATCCAGAATAACAAGTATATTCGTTCTGTGAAAGTAAATAATTTCTAGAGTTGTTCTTATCGTTTTGGATCTTGATATACTTGGAACAGATGACTCATCGGGTGAGTTGATATTATGCCTTAGTACATATGCCACATGTTTTTATTTATCTATAATTGGGGTACCTCGGACATACCACTCCTACGTATATTTCACCTATCAAAATAGTTTGGAAAACAGTCTTGTGTTGTTGGAATAGTTAGCATGAGTCAGTCAACCTCTGAATTCATCCAGATTCAGGCGTTCTGCAAGTGTCTGAATCGAACCAGGCATTAATGCAGGCCTTGGTCGGAACCGTAATAAGTATTGGAAGCCGTCCAGTCGGGTCCTAAAAATAATTCAACTAGGAAGCCATGTCTAATCAGACTAAATCGGTAGCCATGGCTTAGATGTGTCCATTCTATAGATTTCGAATTTCAATATTGCTTCACACTTACTGTTTAACTTCCTTTATTTTAGAAGTTCGGTCACCATACATCGTCTTCTATCTCCGCAGTTGTAAATTCAACGCGTCATTTATTTTACTTGTCCTTGCGTAATGTGTTGTTTTGCTCCAGTGCACATTCGTGCCAATGTGTTGTGCGTAACTATCCTAATTAGTTCAAATGTCACAGAAGTACTTATCAGAATAACTGGGCACACATGTATCTATCGGGGTCAGTTTTCCTGCTAAGATCCTCATATTGAGTGTTTTGACGCGCTTGGTTTCCAGAGCAGTTTTTTCAGACGTTTGGGGACGGTATACATTTCATGTAATGTGGGTTAATGTAATTAGGCGTGTGGATCGTCAAGAGATGCGTTCTGTGGCTGACCCCAACCAGATAGTTGATACCTACCGACATGTCTTAGTCCACTTGTCAGTAACTCCATGCATTTGTGCCATGTTTTAGTCTGGCTGCCCCCTAGCTTTTTTCCAGACTACCCTTACACCAGGCATCATCGCTCGCCGGGGAAGTCGGTGGTTGGGCGTTCATTATGTGTCCCAGCCACCTCAACTGATGAAGTTTTTTGACGTTATACCTTTTTCTTAACCACAACATCGCTTACTCGATTGTCATAGGATATACGATATACACCGATGATCAAATACTAATAGCCTACAGTTATCCTCTACGCTTAGTGAACATGTTTCACAGCCATAGAGTAGGACGGACCGGAACGCTGCACAGTAAACCCGTCCTTTGGTCAGCAGACGGATAACTCGCCTACACCATAAGTGACGCTAGTTGACAAAATCAATCGAGACAACTCTATTCGCGCTGAGATTTCGTCAGACATCAGGATTAATGAGACTGTCAAGATTAGTAAAGTAGTCAACACGCTCAACTACTTCACTCACGATTACTGGTTTAGGTGTCCATGCAAGTCAATTGTGAAGCAACATGTTGCATTTGGATGGGGAGAATCGAATCCAGAACATGCCTGCGTTGTAGTTTGGAGTGGTCGGAATGCTCTGCATCGTCATATTCTGAGTCAACGAGCGAGTCTCGTGTTAGAAGATCAAGCTCTGAGAAGTGAGACGATGAAAGTGTCGTCTCTAAAAGCAAACCAATGACGAAGTTAAAAAAGAAATCGTTTTGCTAGATAGTCTCACCAATAGTCGTACTTTTAGTGCCGGTTTCTTCGATAAGTCAGAATAGCTGTCCACTGTTACCTTTTGCTACTCCTTTTTCCATCGCTTTCTTTCACTACCTACCACTGTTCACAAACCTTGCCTAGGTTTCTTATCAACCAGTGCGTAAGCTTGTTAATCTCCGCATCATGTTTAGAACCAAACGGGATGAGTTTTCGAGAATCTATTGGTACAGCAGATGTTATTGATATCCATCGTTTCCCCCTAATCTTAGTAGTAGATATCTCTGCTGTTTCCACATCTTTATGAGTATATTTCCAAGTTGCCTTGGGGTGGGGATCACTTACACGGCTGCCTAACTTTTTCCAGTTGTACCCGAAATATACTCTTGGCTTTGCTATGGTTAAGTAGAACTGTGTGGTTTACTTACAGTGTGTTCTCTACGTCTGGTAAGACGCAAATAAATATGCGTTTGTAGTGTGGCATGATTTCAATTTGAACATGTACTCCAGAATAAACGACAGTCCTCCATCAAGTCTCCATCGGTGGCAGTGAGGTCTAATAAACGATTATGCTCGGGTCCTGTATGCGCGTTTCGAGGGCGCAGCATACATCTATGGCACGAGATAATAACGTTCTTGCTAAGGAAGCCTATTCTATTTAGCACAAGTTCCGAACTCCTAAAGCTTCTACATGTAGTTTAGATCGGGGTTTCAGGAGACCAGGAATAACGATTCGTGTACTCGAATAGTTTGCATCGGTTGTTTGAAGTGATCAAGATGTTTTTTCTCATCAGGTAAAAACACCTGTTATAGAGCTCTCTTTATAAATCCCATCTATTCCTATTGTTTAGTATTCTCTGACAACAATACACTCGACAAGTCCCCAAATCAGAACACATTTTAACGGGAAAGATTTATTATATTGCAAATAGCAAGGTTAAACGGAAGTAAGAAGGCAAAGGCGAGATAGAAAACAACGTTAGTATCTTTAATAGTTTTTACACGAGAAGCTTCTGGAATATAATCCACGTGATCGACTAGCGCTGATCGATTAGATATAGCCAATCAATGTGCAGCTAACAACACGAGTATCGATCTCCAAGTATCGATCAGGCGCTGATTGAATAGGAATTAGCCAGTCAGCGCGCAGCTAATGCAGTCATGCTTTATTCCATTTATGCCCCACCAACAACTCCAAAGTGCTATAAAATATGGTTACATTGTGGTCTGTGGAGAGATATCGGTCAAAATTGTCATATATTTGATATGCTTTTGACAATGAGTATTCTTAGCTAAAATTTTGTCCAGTTAGTTTGAAATTTCTTTGGTTTTTGCGATAGGTTTAAAAATATTTATTACTTCTGTATAATCAGGTGGTTTGAAGTCCGAACCAACATCTGAAATAGCCAAACCTGCCACAACCACTTCTCATTCGTTAGAAAACGAACAAAAAACTCCACCCAAGTCCTCTAGTGGTCCATTCTCTGGTGGTCAGCCAAATACCCCTGGAACACCAGGCTCTGGTCTCCCACGTATATTTCCTATACAAAGCCTCAATCCATATCAGAATAGATGGAGTATACGTGCTCGTGTATCACAAAAATCTGCCATCCGTACTTGGAGCAAACAAGGTCGTGATGGGAAGTTGTTCAACTTTACATTAGTTGATGAAAGCGGTGAAATCCGGGTTACAGCGTTTAATGCTGAAGTAGACAAATTTTATGATACGATTGAGGTAAGTAGTTTGTTCATCATTCGAATAAATGTCTAAATCTCCACTCAGTTGATTCGTTTCTAACGTTGACTTAATAAACAGAAAAAAAGATGAGATGGCTATATTGACGTTAGTAATCGACGTCTTTATTTGGTCTCAGTTCGGATAGCAACTTCTAGTTATTTCTACTACTTGAATAATATTGTCGAACCGTAAAATTTTCGATTGCTGCTAATACTTCTACTACCTCTACTATTAGGTGTTTTAAAATGACAATTGCATCTCTGTGGTAATGTGGTATAGCAGCTTGAACTGATGTACGTACGTACTTACGAGGTGTTATGTTGTTGTTGACTGACTGAAATAGTTCTTGTTTGGTTTTAATGAATAAAACTCCCTCACTGAAGAATGTATTAAAAAAATTTCTGAAAGCAGAACTTATTACTTACAAGGCTTTAATCGTCAGATTCAATTGTTGTCGCCAAGTAGTAATGCGTATACAGTTATTAATTAAAGAGAATATAAATAGCACACTTTTATTTTTAGACGGAACCTACTCATTCCTCTCAATTTCACTCTCTCGTCTTTCAGTTAGAAGTCGAATAACTGCGAGTTTTAAGACTATCGAGATAGTGCTGTTGAAGTTAATTCCTTTGCATGAAATCCATATTTGATGTTCAGATAACTGTTATAATTTATCGAGGTCATCTGTAGATAAGTTCGAATAACTTTTTATTCAGATTATATACTTCTATTTTGCATCAGAGTATTATGGAGGTCGTAGGTTTTACCTTGAAATCATGAATGAATCATTGTTAGACCACCATTGGAAACCTGGAAGCACTGAACGGCCGTTTCGTCCTCGTATGGGTGGGACTCATCAGCAGAGAGCATCCATGACTCTTGCTACGCGCAGAATTTGAACCCAGGACCTTCATTCTAGCACGTGAACACCTAACCTCTGTTTGTAATTTTTATATGGATGAATCCTGTTTTTAACGATAAGACGTAGTAAAAACATCGTTATCATTACTACTACTGTAGTGAATGAGAACACAGGTGGGGCAACCGAATTGTATTTAACGAAAATTACAGAGTTACTCAGTAAAATTGGAAAACCATATCGTAAATCGTTCATTTGCAAAATAACAGTTCATCATATCGAACTGGACTGTTTCTGTTGCAAAACATCAATCCATTGTCACTCACTATTCATGCGTTTCATACAAATTCCATTGTTTTCTTGATCTTCCCCCATGTTCTGCTGCCAGACATTACGTTGACACTCACGTCATATACTACTTATAAGTAGCTCGCACCACAGCACCGCACTACCTCTCTATTCGGAAATGTTGAACTGGCATTGTGACAATTCTCACTATGATGTGGCACATTTAAAGTGTGTGTATCCAGAAAATGGATACTATTAGTATTTATTCAGCTCATTCACTAGGTACAGGATTCGTGTAATTTGCTTTGGATCAGATTGTAAATGTGTGAGGTGGTTAGTACTGCTAACCCTTCGTCCGAAACGATATGATTAGCATCAGAGTTTGAGCCTGATTCTTAACAGATCACTAACTACACTAAGTTGACATTAGGTCTGTTTGTTCAGCAATTTTCATCGGCTGTCTTGTTTTTATACATCATTTCTGTAGGTAAATAAAGTGTATTATGTCAGTCGAGCAAACTTGAAAGCAGCTAATAAACAATTCAATACAACAAACAATGATTATGAAATGACACTTCATAGTGATAGTCAAGTGTTGCCTTGTGAAGATGCCGATACTACTTCTTTGCCAGAAACTCATTTCAATTTTATTCCAATTGGAAAATTGGATACACAATCGCCTGGATGTTTTGTCGGTAAGAATTGATTACTTACTTACTGCCTGTGATCATTTTTTAATGCCTAATAATAATTATAATTAACTAACAAGGATTTTGATACTTTAACCACCGACTGCCGCGACGAGCTATGTTTTGTGGTGTAAGAGTAGGTTGGAAGAAAGTTAGGGGCGGCCAGACCAAAACATGGCAGAAATCCATGAAGTCTCTGACAACTGGACTGAGTCATGTTGGTAGATGTAGGCTATCTGATTGGGGTCCGCGAGATGATAATAATCAATGGTTAGAGACCTTGAACGACATGGCTCAGAATCGCTTGCAATGGTGCAGGTGCATCCACTCTTTGTGTTCTCTCTAATTCTAACCTGAATTCCTCATAATCTCTATCTTTCTCCTAAATTTATCTCACTGAATGATACTTTTCGAATTATATCTTCGCTCCCTTATCTTCTCCAGTGCTGACAGTTACGTTTCTGTGCTGGCGTGGTATGGCAACCCGGACTGATCTACTTATGTACGAAGTTCCGTGTTGTATCTGTCTGTCTGTCTGATACTTTATGTTACTATCGTTACATTTCGGGGAAAGGCTTTCAAAAATTTTTACTCAATATCATTAAATGTACAAATAAGTTATTCGAACCAATCAATCAATCAATCAGTAGCAACGTAGAACTTCATACGTACGTACGTACGTACGTACATTAGTTCATGTTGCCATACCACATTAGAAGTTATTCGAATACTCTCTTCATAAGCTTCGAATTTGGGTATTAAATATACGAACTAGTAATTTTGTAGCTAACTGTCAATGTATATATAAAAAGCTTCGAATCTAATAATACATTTCTAATTCTTTTTCGTATCATATGAAAAAAATGTCATAAATTATTTTCTACATAATTTTTGAACGCTTAGACATTGTTGGGGTTGTACATGAATGTGGTGAAGTACAAACAATCACTGCTAAAGCATCTCAACGTGAATTACGTAAACGTGAATTAGGCCTGGTGGATAGTTCTAACTGTTTAGTGCGTCTTACACTATGGGGTGAAGAAGCAGAGAATTTCGATGGTGCCAGTCATCCTGTGATTGTTATAAAAGCAGCAAAAATATCTGATTTTAATGGTATGTTGTTATTTCCTAATTATTTTTTTATTTTAATGTTTGAATACGGTAGAATTTGACAAGATCTTATTCATCACTGTACTACTCCTCATTCATTCATTTCGACGAGATTGGAAAAATACTAATCATTTATCCGTCACTACTGGCTGTGCACTACTCGGTCTTATTGAATATTTGTTAAGCTGTGTGATCTGTTGAATAGTGGGAATCTTGTTTATAGTAGCATAAGCTATAATCCGCAACTATTTTTAGTGATCCCCAATTAAATGTGATGTAATACAGTAAGTATATCGTCTCAATATCTAGTTTGTGTTATAAAGGCCAATGTGAAAGCAGTTCGTGATTGTGTGGTGAATCGATAACCGTTTAGTTCCATGAGCTTTCCAAGTTGTAGTCATCAACTAGCTGCCAGCCGTAAGTTTTTTTTCTGAGGACGAAATTATAACGCTGTTAACAAA